CAAATTTCCCCACTGTGGGATTAATATAGGCTTATTTTATCTTATCTTAAGTAGTTCAGGGGGTGTCAGAAAGTTAAAAAAAAAAAAAAAAAAGTCAGACAATTGTTTCTTTTTCTGCATTTTCTGGCTTTGATCAATTTTTGCAATTTTTTAATGATTGCATACCTTTAAAACCCACCGGTGAGTTTTGTGGGTTTAGGGACTGAGCTACAGTTTCTACAGTAAACAACTGTATTAATGATACTGTGCAAAGTTAATGACAATTTTACAGAATTTAGCGAGATGCTTCCAAACTAACCAACACACTTTGTTCTTGGTTGCGAAATGCGCAAAAAAAAATTGATCTGTGTGTATCATGAATCCACCTTTATTTAAAACAGCAAAAAGTTGTAGACATTTCCTTTTATAACCTCCACAGTCGGTCACAAACACAGGTAAAATACAAATGTGAAAGGTCCTTGACATCAATGCGCCGAGTTCCTGTCTCATGTATATTTCTGTCCTGCTCAAATAGCTACAAGACTGGCTAACGGGAAAACTATCATTGTAGCTCAGACGCATCATCCATTGACATTTAAATAATCAAATCATGTCTTTTTTTTCTTTCTTCCTGTTATTGCGGGTTCATGTCACAGAAGGTCTGAATAATATTTGATGCGTTTTGTCTGCCAGGAGAAGAATGATAATGTGAACCACATAAGAATTCCTGGTTCTTCTATTGTAGATTGATTGATATTAGTTTATTGGCATCATTATTTTGGATCACAGGGTGTGATGTACTGTTTAATTATACTTTGACGCTATACGAATGGTGCCCCTACTTGACTGTCTGTAATTCACAGCCTGGCAGTCGCTGCCAAGTTAGAACATGCAGCTCAAAAGACATTTAATTAGCTATGTGTTTGAATGGTTTAGCTCATAACCCCACATTCTATTTACCACTTCATCTCCTCAACTACTAGACCATTTAATTGTTCCAAAAGGTAAAATACAGTGCGAGAAAGGTAGTTCGGAGAGAGGTGGGGGGGGGGATTGATCATGTTGACTCACAATTTTCCCTCACGGCTCTAAATCTTGAGAAACATTGATTGGCGATAGCTTCTTTACCAGATACCGATAGTGTTGGATTGGACAATAGTGTCCTCATAAATCGTGGTAATGATTTCTCTGAAAACTGAAATGGTAATCCAATAGACATCATTAAGCTTCTTTTAATTGTACTCCTCCCAGGAGGACGCACAGACCCAAGACAAACCCAAATGATGATGCTTAATATAGTTTTGCCCTTTTACACGGTTTTGGGGATGTACAGCGTTATATCTGTTTATTTATAACTCTTACATACTTTTTTTTCCGCAGCAGTCGGATACAAGTGAGAATGTTTTAGTTCATTTCCATTCTAAAGATGTTCAATATTGGTTACATGTAATGCTAAAAAACTATTCGCTTTCAACATGAAAGAATTTGGGGGGAAAGGGAGGATCCTAATTTGAAATTCCATTGAAGACATTCATCGAAATGATCAAAAATGAATTTTAAAAAGCTATACTATACGCCGCAGCTCTGGTAATCTATTTTTGCACTCCAGTCATTACGGGAATCCATGGCAGCAAATAGAGAGAGAAACGCAAGTGCTAGGTGCTGACAGAAAGCAGATCTATAATGTCATCTCTCCTTTTCATATTTCCATCACAACTATGTAATTATGATTGGATTCCTCCCCAGTTTCTCGGCAGAGGTGGTAATACGAGGAGTGTTATGATGGCGGTGTTGGAGGTTAGAGGAAAGACAGTCTTCAGACCTGACCTTAGCTGAGGAGTATTGTCGAACGCCGTGCATGGTTTGTGTATCCTTTTCCTCCCACCACTGCTACACGGAGGCACCGAGCCAGTACGCTTCCCCTCGCTCACACCTGTCTGTTTCTTTATATGACACTGCATCATTTACTAAACATAGGCTTGTAAGCGCAGGCAAAGTGCTTGTAGGGTCAGTTTGCTATATGCTGCAGCTTCATTACAGCGGGAACAGATAGACACATTGAGAAGACAATGCCAAGAGGCCTCTAATGCACAGGCCATGTTTTCTATTCTGCAGTCTACTATCCCACACACCTCTTTGGCCAAATGCAGGAGAACTCCTGGGATGGTGCTACATTTTTAATGAAAGCAGAGTGTTTGATCTGCCAATGTTTATCTTCTTTGATGTTAACTGACACAGCAGAGAGCAGCCAGCTCTCAATGTAGTCCAACATGAGGACAGATTAATTCATTATCCTTTAACAGGGGAGGCTTGTGGTTGAGGAGTTCATCCTGGAGGTCTGCTCCAGGACCTGCAGTATTGTTGAATAAAAACACTTCCTACTCTTGATATTCTACACTGTGACCTCTCTGGGGAAAGTACACGTGAATGTGCTGCGATGCATGCACAAGTGCAGGTGTGAATACGTGAAGAAAGAAAACCTTAATTACATTGTGTGTCACAGGTCTTGTATTGTGTAGAGCCACACTTCCCGGCACTTTGTAACCCAAACCCCCCCCATTTTATTTATTTATTTATTTATTTTTATTAGATAGTGGGCGAATAGGGAATAAACTGAAACTCTTGTCAAATTAAGGAGACAACAAACAGGCAAGAATTTCCAGGACACTACTGTATCTAATGACTACAACAGATCCATATCAGACTCTGCGTCCCAGGAGGGAACATAAATAACAAATATGGAGCCAGTGCATAATTACTCTCCGGCACTGGAGTTACACGGGCACGTGTCTGCTGATTTCATGCCACTGCACAACTGTGTAGGTGTGCATTAGGCATGTTTCTCCGTGTATCTTAATCCTCAAACAGTCCCTCAAGGAGTTTTTTTTTTTTCCCACTAGTCTTACATGCTTGTATGGATTTCAGGCTGCTTTGCCACATATCGGCAACCTTATTATCTGCACTTGCTGAATCTGTTTTGGAACCAGTCGGTCTTGTTGACCGACCTTTGGTGCCTTGACACGAGTGTCTCGCTGTGTATCCATTTGGCTAAGAGTGTTATAGAGCTCTGAAATGAGCAATCTTTTTTATTAAAGGGTCTTTTTTTTAAATTATTTTTTTATTTTGGAGGTCACCAACAGTAAATAAGCTGTCAGTGGGATAACGTGGGTGTCAAATCGTATGAATAGACCGAAGAGGGGGGGAATAGACGCTTAAGGGCCCAGTGAGTTCCAGCACTGACATGGTTTAGAAGCACTTAATTATAATAAGCCAGAGCATGGAGCAAGTGTTAGGTGGCTTGGGGGGAAACTTAGAGACAGTGACAACAGTCCAGCGTGAGCTACATGAATTGGAGATCGCTCTGTGTCAGGGCAAGCATCAGATATGCATTAGTGAAATAAGAAGAGTTTTCAGTAGCCGCCAGACTTCATGAAAAAGAAATGATGCCTGCCTCGCAAATATATTACGCATAATGTCTTTTCCTTTGTAGAAGTCATCAAGCTTCATAACGTTTTATCCATTAGGAGAACAAAAATGCTTACAGTGTTACATCATTACAAATGCGAGTTATGGTTTATGAAAACAATAAATCCCGCCATAGATCGGGATGTCGCGACCTCATTTGTTAATCACATTATCGTTAATTAATGATGCAATTCTTTTTGGCTAATGGTTGACAGTCCGTATTGACTCGAACGAGGGAGCGAAATTGGAAAAGGAACTTGAGAGTGGAGGGACACACTTTAATCAACGCGCTATGAAAGGAAAGCCAGAGGGAAGAAAACAAGGGAATTATATAAATAAATGCAAAATTTATCGATAGTTTTATATCCTCGTGAACTGGTTTACAAGAAAATATCGGAATTACAGTCAGAATGATTTATAATCTATTGTTCAAGCTAAGGCTGTTTAACTCCCTGCCCCTATGAATATTAACGCACTCTGTCTCCCTCACACTCTCTCGCTGTTTCTCCTTCTCGCTCGCACTCACACATGTAAATGCATAACATACTAGCAGAGCTCCTTGTCTAATTTTTCATGAAGATAGCTGTTTTTATGCTAATCTGACAGCTGCATTCATTCTCAGCCTTTTCTCGCTGGCGTTTATTTCCCAATCACATGCTCATTCGTTCATAATTGTTAAGAGATATACACACACTCTGTTTTTTCTGTTATACTTTTTACGAAAATGGATTAAAACACTACAAAACACATGAGACATGAGACCGACTTTAAACATGTGCAGACTCCCACTTTTAATAGACCACTTCCATCATTAGCCAAGGAGGACTTATTTCCAGGCATCAATTTGACTAGGTCACTGACATAATGCTGCAAGGCTCCTTCTCGCTGAATAGCTAGGTAATTAGAACCACTCTCCCATCTAGCAGGCCGTGTTTGAGCCTTTCATACCGCTGCTAAAGACAACGAGGTAGCGCAGCAAGACAGGAAATAGCTGGTTTGGAGGTCACAAGAAGGGCATAATTGGACCAGTCAGTCAATAATGCTGCCGGCTGCGTCTGCCTTCGGGGCTGCTAATGAAGCACGAGCGATGAGGAGGTGCCCGATTGGCATGCTGGTTACCTGGGCGCTGGGGACATGACTGCAAATTCACTTGTATCTGTTCCTTCTGGAGGTGAAACAGGCCGCGGCAGTAAAACTGAGTAATTGTGCAGCATTATGAGCGAAGCGGCGCCAGTACCTGCCTCACTCATTTTCGCAGAATTTTCTCCTACTCATGAATTGACACGAGTGTGCTTAAACTCTCAGACGGGGCTGAGAGCTGTTCAAGAGTGATATGTTGCTCACTGCTTTGCAAAGTCATTACTCAGCACAATAAAACACTCCAGACTGACGGTGCTCTGTACACGCGGCATTGATGCCAGCTTTGCTGTGTTAATAATGTTTTTCTGTTGACAGTCAGTGATTCACGCCTGGTACACGGCTGCAAGGGGGAATACACTATTAACGTCTTCTATTTGTGCTTCTCTTTTCCCTTTTTTTTGTTTCCTCCCCTCTAGCTGGAACAACGTACATATTTGGACGAGATGGTGGACTGATCACATACACGTGGCCACCAAATGACCGTCCCAGCACGAGGGCAGACCGACTAGCCATCGGCTTCAGCACGCACCTGAAGGATGCTGTCCTGGTGAGGGTGGATAGCACCTCTGGTCTTGGAGACTTCTTGAAGCTCCACATTGTAAGTCCAATAAATTAATTTGCTCACTTTCAAACACAGCGGGACAAATTATATAGTACACGCGCAGGATATTAGCTTAAACCTAGTAACACATAATTTTTCAATCAGCTTCTTGAAGAGATGGGATGCTACATAAACATACTATAATTTACCAAAGTTAGAAGAGATATTGAGCTTTATTTTGTTTTCATTCTGCACAAGTGGGTGGGGCTCAGTTGATAAAAGATGATATCTCATATTTCCCTACAGCCTTCATAATCAACATTTGAATCACAGTGTGATGACAGTTGGTGTGTTGTTTGCTTGCTGTCAGTCAAATTTGATCAAACCGCACCAACACAGTTCTGATGAAGGAGCTGTCGAGTTTATAAATGCTGCATTTTGTAACTGTGGTTGTTGCTCATTTAGTCATGAATATTTCATATAATAGGGAAATACATATAATGTGAGGGCAAGTTTTGATTAAATCACCAATGCAACATGTACGACTAACAGCACTCTAATGAATATGGTAAGAGGGAGTCCATGTTTGCCCACCTCGTCTTGCCTGCGTGTTTTTGCTGTTTTGTGAATATAACAGGGACAGAGGGAAATGGTGCGGTAATAAGGGTTTGTTCCATACAGTGCATCTCTGACCTGGACATAATTCTGCTGGCTACCACATGACCTTCCTTTCGCAAGCACCCACTTACTGACAGCAACGCTGATGCTGGCCAGGAGCATACAGGAACTTTTCACAAATATACACACAGGGGAAAGCTACAGACTAGAACACGCACAAACATGAAATTGGTCTTGAAGTTTGCCTCAACCCCAGCTGCCCACACACTGAGATTTACACATACAGTAAGCACGCAGTGACATAAGCAGGCCTGTCCTGAGGACACAGAGCAGCTGTGATGTTGTTCTTATGAGACACCTCTGTATTCGCTTTGCGTGGAAGAGCTTTTTTTTTTTCCCCCAAATGTTTCTCCCCACGCCTGAGGGCCAAGTGATTTTTTAGCCCCTAGTTTTAATCCACGAGTAGCTGGCTAATCTAAAAGGATACAGTCTATTTCATGCAGTCCATTCATCACTAAATGCCACTGAGGGACACAAACAAGATGTTCAAAAGAACATAAATTGGAATATGTTGTGAAAGCACAGATGTGCTCACTCAGATGTGCAAATGCTCCACTACGATCATCATGCATTCTGCAGCTTTCTGGACTCCTTTCCACCTGCAGAAAAGCACCTGAACAGGGATAAAACAGGAGAGCTTCCCTTCACTGGTTTCATGTGAGTGAAACGTGCCTCGTCCAATGATTTACATAGACAAGGCTCCTTTTTAAATGAAATGGCACAACAGGGCTTTGCTCAGTAGCTGATCCCATTGCAGTATTGAATGAATATACATAAAAATGCCTTCACTTGTTTGTACAACACGCACTCTTGCTAACTTGTTTCTTAACAGCTCACACACTTTTGCAACTAATTTAAATATTAAGTAGTTAATTACCATTCAGGCCCTTGTGAGTACAGGTAAAGGTGAATTCTTTGAGATACTGCAGCTGGTGTTCCGCACACTTACTAGAAGCCTGTTGCATGTGAACACCTTGTAGCAGTTGTGTGTTACACTGCACCGTACAACATTTCTTCACCTTGTACTAGAGACAACACACAAAGAGGCATTTTCTGGGGAAGGACAAAGGTCATATCTTAGTGGAAACACAAGAAGACAGTCTCAGCCTGTGTGCCAGGTTTTGGATTCGCTGTGTGCTGGTGATGAATGCTGGAGGTTAGAGACCTGAGCCTTACAGACAAGAGAGGTGAGAGAGGGGAGTCTCGCTTGGTGTAACAAGACAGAGAGATCATGCGGCTTACAGCAGATGTATGCGTAGCCTCGTCGATGAAACGTGCAGCATTCCATTGACATTTTACAGGGAGAAAATGTTGATAAGGCATGTTCTTACAGCAGGGGCAGTGGGTTGTGAGAATCCCCTCTCCTCTCGCATCAGCAGTCACTCTGAATGCTCCCGCTTATTTATTTATTTCTGCACATTAATCTGGAGGCTTTGTGAAATGTTGCATTTCATTAGAAAATGAGAGACGCAAGCGGGAGAAAGCGTTTTAAAGCGAGGAAGGAGGCATGAACGGGGGCATGAAAGTCATGCTCTTGGTTTTTGTTCATCTAGTTATTTAAGATGAGCAACAAGGCTGTTAAATATGTACATAAATAACTCACGGTGTTAGCACATCACAAGTTTTGATATCACGCATTATAAAGTTGCAACAGGGTTTTGTCGAACGTTGGGTATAAATGGAGAAGAATTGGAAGAGTCTATAAAATAATGTTTTTAAAATGTCAGTTTAACCTACAAATTGGACATTAAATGGGTTTTCAAAGATTTGTTAAAATGTAATTGTTGAATGGGTATTGTGCTGCAGCCAAATGGAAGAATAGCATAAAATTAAATCACAATATATTATGAAAATGGAATACTTATGATACAAACCCTCTAGATATGTGTTCCGCGCTTCTGTCATCTCCTCATTAATTACACTGGAAAGGACGTGTTTTACAGCACTCCATTAAACACAATGAGCTGTGCAAAATTGCCACTTTGATGCGTTTTTTATGCAAGAATAGCTGCACTGAGCAAGTCACCTGCAAAAAAACCACGTCTAGTTGAACTGTAGCCTCGGTGAAAGAGGCTGTAGTGTAAAATGGTATTACAATATACTGACTGTGTGGCCTGGTTATTTGTGGCACTGCACTGGGAACTAGTTAATATCCCTCTGCTTGACCAAACTGTGTGTTTTTTTTTACTATATGCATTGAATAATTCTGAGATATGCTTGATTTTTACTACTGAATGTGTAAAAAACAAACCATTTCTGGAGTTATTAGTTCATTCATAGATACGCACTGGGCTGATTCCCAACGGTATTCCCCTCATTCCTTTCAGTTACCTCAGCTCTGAGCAGAAATGTCTTAGGAGGAGTGTATCTTCAGCTGTATGAGATGGGATTAGACCAGATTTCAGTATTTACCCCCCTCCTGCTCCATCCTCTACATCCCTCTCCCCCCTAATCTCCTGCTCCCATTTCATGATGACAGGAAACCCAGCGGGGCTTGAAGGACGCCATCTCAGCTCACATTCTCAAGAGGGAATTTTCTTAGTAATATGTGGAGACTATGATTTAAATGCACCTCAAAGGAGTTGTGATCCTTCCCCCGCCTCCCCTTTCCATTGCAGATAAAGACAATGACTGTGAAGTCAGCCAACCATCAAATGTACGACAATCACTTTCCTCAGGCTCATTACTGTAGTGCACATGGAAGAAGGACTAGACTCATAATAATGTTCTTGCCGTTTCTCCAATTATGATGATTCCCCACAAACCCTTTTACATTTTCTAAGGTGACACATATTCATGAGGCTACTAGAACATGTATCCCGTGTGTTTATAAGACTTGTCTGTACATGATAGTGTGCCCTGGCGAAGAATGTACATATATAATTAATTGCACTGTAGCTGAAAGTCAAATCCAGGGAAATATTCACAATGACATTATGCAAAACAGGGAATTATGGATGTAATGATCCTTGGTGGGTCTATGCAGCAGGGTAATCTGTACAAAAGAAGAATTGGAACAAAGTTTAGAAGATGTGGGTGTGCAGTACCTTCTCTGTTAAACATGCTAATACAGCTTACTGTGTAATGTCTGTAAAATTTCAGCAGAATATTAGAGGTAGATTTTACTTTTATGCTGTTAAGGCTTTTTATCCCCCACAAAGGAACTATCATTTATTTTTCCTCACAAACAAGGGAAGATGTCTGTTATTGGAAATCCATCTGTACATTTTTAGGAAGCCATTTACTCGGTGAAATGGAAGCTTTGCAGTTGTTTTCTTTCTTTTTTGTTGTCAATGAGCAGCGGTGACACTGACTATCAGAGGCTCTCCTCAGTCTCAGGCAGGGCCCCCAGGGGCCCACTGAGCTTGTTTTGTGCTGGCACTCGATCTCTGTGTGGGGGCTGGGTACTATTCCAAGCACTTTCTTCTTTCCCTTCTTCTAATTGCATGCATCCCTTTAAAAAAACAAGCAATGAAGGCACTCTAGCTAAGACAGCAACACTGTGAAGTTAATGTATTCCATAGAGCAGAGACGATGGTGGAGAAATAATGACTTCTCTGGTGGAGCATTGCTCCCCTCGGTCCTCCTTTAGCTGACTACCAGAAAGTGGGTTCTCCTTCTGATGGAAGACACCTTTAATTGCAGTTTCAACTCCTGCTCTCTACCCTATTAATCATGTAAAATGGCTTGAGAAAACAGACTACCAGCCCACTGTCTGAGTATCTCCATTTTCATGTGAGAAAAATGTCATCTTTTATGTTTTTGCAGTTCACCTTAGGTATAGAGTTCTGATTATTCACAATTGCATGCTTCATTAAGCGAATACAGAACAGTATGATTTGATGGTGCAGATGAGATTGTTACCTGGGATGGGAGAGGTTGCTGCAGGTCTCAGGAGAGAACCAGTATCACGCTATCCCCTATACTCCTATTAAAACACCTGCCCAGGGAAAGGGATCTTATTCTCATCCACTATACCTGTTAAGGCCTTAGACCCAGTAATTACCGCTCATGCTCGCTCTGCACAAAGACACTGAGCAGACCTGCATGCAATACCCCCAGGATTCGCTGGTATACAGCTTTCCTGTGTTGCTCGCTCAGTCAAGGCACATCAGTCAATTTTTAGCACACCTCTTGAGCAACTGACACGTAGACCACAATCTTAATACAATGCGGCATGCTCATCAACCAACGCAGCTAAAAACGTGATGATGTTAAATTGTGTGTGGGCACAGAATATGTGTTTGACTCCATCTCTACCTGAACGTTTGTTAAGTATTGCTGCGTCTGAACAGTTATCATCTCACTGTTTAGAAACTTTTTCTCAGCATTACTTTAACTACTGTTCCCATGGTAACCGTCCCGGTATAGGACTGGAC